AGCAGACCTATTCCCCACCTATTTGGAAGTGACTAACAATTGAGTTCATTACTTCAATATGTAAATCTATTTAAGAGTTTATCTTGTTGCTTTCCTTTGGTACTGTCTTAATTTAATTCTCAGTGCAGTGTCACTCAAATACCTTGTCTCCGACTTGTGGGTAACCTCCTCCCTCCAGGTCCTTGGTATGGTATGGTACAGTGAGCTTCACTCCGCAGTCTTCATATGCAATAACTCCTTCCTCAGCTTCCTACAGAGAGTGAAACAAATGTACATTATCTTACAAGAAATTAGCACCAACAATAGCTGATCCAGCTGTCCCCAGCCAAGGCCCACTGTCTCAATGCTGCAACAAAACTAGTGTGAGCTACCAATGTCACAACTGTTTCGATCAGATGATGTCATAGGATGAAGTGTATTAGATGAAGGTGCGCAGATGGCCTACACAAGCATACGAGAGGCACCAGTGTGTGCATTGCATCATTCTGTAGCAGCCTAATTGGTTAGCGTTCGGCTAGTCTACTGCGACAGCTCTGAGTTACAGCCTACAATGTAGGGCTGCATAATTACCCAGCACTATTGTAGTTTCCACTATTATTGTACTATTGTAGTACATACAACATTTAGCAACTATATTGAATTCAAGTGCCATAAAGGGATGGGTGTAATGGAGACCAGAGAAATGCTGATTAAATGGCTAATCCAGATGCTGCTTACATCATTCGGTAGGACAAAAAGAAAATGTTATTGAATGATGATATATTTTATACAAAAAATACTTAACAGATTGTTCCCACAAACCATACTAGTAACTAGGACTACCGTTTCATCATTAATTGTGCAGCCCTACAACACACTGAAACAGTGATACAAGACTCGGGTTTACGGGTTAATTGGTGATCAAACACCATGCTGTCAAATAAAACAGGATAAAGGAGGCAATCAGTGGGCCAGAAGCCTGCAAAGACTGACCTTTTCTACAACTTTACCCTTAAAAAAAAATAAAAGACAGACATCCATTAGACAGCAAAGCTTGTCAACATCACGCTGCATTATTTGTTGATTGCTGACTTTTAGATTGTTTATCTAAAGTTTAGGAATCAAATAATTATCTTAGCCTAAATGTTAGTGAAACGTATAGACTATTGGTATAAGTTTGTACAATTTGTCTAGAATACGAGCATCTTTATCATTTATTTATGAGGCTTCATTGATGTGGCTTCATGCAGGAGGTTCAAGTCCTACCTTGTCTTTTTTCTAACCAACAAGGAGCATGAACAGGATGAAGTCATTGGAGGAGAAAGCAAAGAGGAAAATTAGAACTAAAACAAAAATTGGGAAGTGGGTAGATAATGTCGGTCGATGAAGTGGGTTGGAGTGGACTATAAGGCTATGGTTTTTGATCATCCTGGTGGGATGTACATGTACAAAACACTGGTAATAATAGTACCTTCTCCTTGGTCTTGGTGGGACTAGTATTCTTGTTGGGGGTTGCCACAACTTCCTTTTCCACCACACCCACAAAGCGCTGCTCAGACTGGGTATGGAAGGACACTGTGCCTTTGGGCAGCTTCTTGATGCGCACTGCATGGTTCCTCTGAGCAGACAGCATATCCTGGAAACAGCGGGACATTTACTTTTAGTTTGTTATTGACAAAAAATTATTTGAATGGACCTGCTTAAGGAATAATACTGAATACATACTTTTGTGAAAAGCTTATAAACAGGACCTACAGGCACAACAGTGAACTCCACTTCATCGGAGATGTGCAGTTGGCTCTCCTCTAGAACTTCACTGAAATGAAAGAACATCCTGGCATCCCGATCCACACACTTAATGAAGCCAAAGCCATCACGTATAGCCGCAATCACCCCCTAGGAGAAGATTGGGTGACAAAGTTAATGTCTGAATAGGTATTCACTTCAGTTTGATGAATGTGGCTGCCTTTCTCTCTACAATCATGCTTTATATACACAATTGACCAGGAAAATCAAATTTACCCTTTCGTAATACTCACCATTTCACGGGTCTCCTTGGTGAAGTTGAAGGTGTCTGGGAGGATGTCGATGTTGGTAGACCTCTCCAGCTTGTCTCGGCGGTCGGTGGAGATGTTGAACTGTATGTGATCTCCCTCCAAAAGGGTCACCTTGGACTTTGTGTCCTTTTCGCCAAACGGCAGTTCTTTATCAGTGAAACCGATCCGGGCACTGATTCGACCTGGTAGAGGGTCGTTCTATGGAAGCAGGAAGAAAAGGATATGTCAAAGTTGTTATATTCTTGGTTGGTGGGTCACAGTTCCCGGCTTGCTTTTAAAACCAAAGGCTCTGCAAATACATTGCCAGACCTTCAATGTACTTGCCTGGTTTTTGGTGGGAACCTTGGGAATGACCTTGACGACAGTGCCTTCGAACTGCTCAATGCTGATATCCTCAAAGATGACCGTTCCTTGGGGGAGCAGCCTTACATCTGTGGCTACTTCTTTACCCTATGACCACAAGAACAGAAAATGTAAACAATGTTGTACACAAATATTCAGGCTGATCAGTTAAGAATGAGATACATTCAAATTTGCTGAAAGGCACCTACATTTCTGTCCTTGATGGTGAACTCAACGTCATCTCCAGCCTGCAGAGCCTCCAGATCACCCTTGAACTCGCTGTAGTGAAAGAAGATCTCCTTCACCACATCGGCTCTCTCAATGAATCCAAACGCCTCCTAAACGACAACATATGGTTCAACACAACAGGTACCTACGACTCACAACGGAATATCCAGGGCCTGTATCAAGAGTATCTTAGAGGAATTTAAAAAATAAATAAAAAATTAAAAAATCAGCCTATGCTGAGGCTAAAGTAACTCATGTTGAAAGATTATATTTGTAATGTATTTATGCATGCATTTTAGTCAATGTATCATTATATTCATCTGTATGGTGGAAATCATGGTATGGAACCAGATACAACTGGCATTAACTAACCCATCTAAAACAGATCAGTTCCTGGGTTGATGGGGAAGTGTAGGACTTTGTTTCTCAACCGTTTTTGCATTTAGTTTTGTTTAGTCAAAAAGAACCAGACTCTATCTGAATTGTTTAAGAACAATGGTCCATGTAATGATATCAGTGGTCCTTACCTTTGTAGCACACACCACACCCTGGCATCTCATTTGCTTTTTCTTCACAAGTTGTATATTACGAGCGCTGACTGCACCGGTACTGAAAAACAAGAGTAATATATCTAACTATCCAGTTCAAGCAGGGAAGTATTAAGACAATTCTGGCATGGTGTAAAGACTTACTGCTTGTTGGTCTCCATGTAAAAGCTGACTTTGTCGCCTGTGTCCAGGTGGATATTACCCTCTACGTCGTCAGGAGTGTAGGTAAGGTAGAACACTTCCTGTGGAACATCACACCACTGTAAAACTTTGTTAAAGAGTTTAGGGCAAACCTATTAACCGTAACAACATTTCACATTTCAGACCAAGTAAAAAAAACTGCATATATATGAAGGACAGCCAGCCATGTACTGTGGAGGCTAAAGATTTACACCATGGTATCTGGAGTGAGCACATGCAGTTTCTGAGCATATGGTTGCATATCATTGAGACACATCATCATTAACTATTACATGGAAGCAGATGTAAGTACTAAGTACGCATTTAGAATAACCCAGGTAAGCATGGGATAAGTAACAGAGTGCTGTCTGTACATAAAACTAACATTCTGCCTTGCATTGATGAAGCATGCTGTAATCCATGCTACTTTTCTTACCCCGTTTCTTTCGTAACAAACACTGCCAGTGGGCACCTGGCCAGGAGCAGACTTTCCATCCAAGTGCACCGGGATTGCTGAGACAACCTGCAAGAAATTGCAGGCGGAGGCCATTAACACACTGCTTTGCCAATCCTAGGTTGAATATTCATTGTCATTACATAGCCCAACTAAAATATTTCTGGACATGATGGATGGATGAAATGGCTGAATTTCAAATGTCACAGTAACAAGTATATCAAGTATCACAGATCATCTACAGGTTAGCAGTTATATGTACATGACTGTGCTGCTGTGGAAAATCTGTACACACGGTCAGGCCTCCAACAGCCTCTAGCATGTTGATAACCTGACATGTTAGTGAGTGAATGAATCAGTATGAGTGGGAGGTTTTGTGCAGTAACATTGTGCTCTGTGTTCAGAATTAGATTTATTATGTGTCTGCATTAATGAACTGTACATAACCAAAAAGTCTGCCATAGCATGGCTCAGCGTTCCCATTGCTGACCTCAACTTAATGATGCAGCAGTCAGGCTGACTGGCTCTTTACAACTGTGTACCAGAATGGTACAAGTAAGATTTGTTTAGTTTGTGAAACTGACCAGCTGAATTAGTTGCTGTGAGCATTCACAGAGAAATTAATATAGCCACTGGGCAATTACAATTGATCACTTGACCATATTTGTTCAATAGACATTCAACAGCTCCAGCAAACATGCATGTCAGCACAACAAGCCAAATCTGAAATTGCAAATGTACTGGAAATCTTCGAGGAAAAAGTTTAATTTAGATGCGGGATTAGAGGGGGACCAAATTTTACAGTCTACTTACAATAACATCCCCCCGCCCAAACACACACAATGGGCGATATACATGTTAAGTTGACAGACAACGACAGAACCAAAAATAAAATGGTGTTCCTTAACTGGATGAATATAACCATGCAGCACAGTAAAGGGATAGGCGTGCAGGTCTGGCCCCACCTGGCCCGAGATGCGCTCCTCTGGCAGCACCTCTGGCTTTATCTTTAGCAGCTTCACTGCTATGGGCTTGCCAGTGCGCCTGTCAGAGGATACCTCAAACTCTACATCATCTGAGGACGGAGAAGCAGAAGAGAACACACTTAGCACATGTCAAATGATACAGGAACAACACGTTAAGTGTGTATGATTGGTACACAAGTCCAAGGCTCTTACCCCCTATTTTAAGCTCCTGCAGGTTGCCATTGTACTGGGAACAGTGGAAGAAGAGACGAGCCTGACGTTCGGAGCACTGGATGAACCCGTAAGAAGTCAGGAGTTTCTCCACTACACCAGTCTCTCTAATGCCAGGCCCTGTGCCGTTTGTGGCGTATGCAGTGTGTCCATTGTTATGGAGCATGCCTGGGTCAAAACTCATCTGAGGAAGAGGAGAGGCAACTGTTAAAATGCATCCAGGAGTGGGTCATAGTGAAGCAGACAAGAAAAGGAAAAAAAATAAATAAAGAGGCTGCAGTTTAATGCAGTGTTTGATGCCAACCTTAAAAAAAAAACAAAACAACAAAAATCACTTCAAAACATGCAGGTAGAGCAAACTTCAGAGGAAGTGGGGAGGGGAAAAAAGCAAAGCTACAGAGTCTTCTGGGGGTATATGTTCATCAACAGAGCACACACGTTGATGATGCCTAGACAGAATTTTAGGACATTTTATACCATCGACTGAAAAATATAAATGAACACACACACACACACACAATAACGACACCGTGTGGCACCTTTGCTTACAAGTGTCATGCACTAAAATTCACTCAATTTGTCAAGTGATTTTACTTCCAAAACACCTAAAGCACTAACAAGACTTTGTAGAAATTCCATGCAATTCTGGTTAGACAGACACGTGTTAAACAAAACTGTTCACCTCCCTCTACCAGCCATTAATTATACTGGAATATCTATGAAAATTCACTCATCAAAGTCTGCCACTGCAACCTGGTTGAACTTGTATTTCACGCAACATACCATGCTGTTAAGCAAAAGTCACATGACAAAACAGCAGCTCACTGGGCTGTTAAGTCAGTGTGGGCACCACCGAACATGCCCCCTTACTGATCTCTGATACAACGGAGTCCGCTTGTGTTTTTTACTTCCTGGGTGGGGATGGCAAGAGACAGAAGAGGAGCGAGGGATAGGCATGGGACCGGTAGAGGTAGATGGGGCAGAGCCAGTGTTGCGAGCCACTGGAGGTTCAGAAGAGCCTCGTTCCATTTCTGACACTGAGGGTAGGACTTTGATATGCTGTTGGGGAGGAGGCAACAGCTTTGAAAAAGAGCATAGTTACATCGTTTTCTTATAATTACCCTAATCCAGATATCAATTTCAAGTTATTCAATTATGTAAAACCAGTTTTACAGCATCTTCTACTGGAGTTGTACCCATGGCATGCACCAATTTTTGGAGGTCCAACATATACACAAGTTTCACAATATCACAGCAATAAACTACACATTCATGTGTACAAAGATTTCTCCAATAACATATCGTAGCTCATCACAACCAACACCACTGTTCAAACCCTGTAACAAAATCCTGACACCAAAATCCCAAGAAAAAAACCATAAGGCCACTCAGTAACGATGAATCTGCTACCATGACAATCTCACATTACAGTATCGACCAATGGCACCAATAAGTGCTTCAAAACACTAGTGCTTTCTAACAGGTACGGCTCTACAAAGACCAACAACTAATCGACCAACTTCTTTGTGCAGCACGTTAGGGGAAGTAGTTTAAGGAGTGTCGCAAATGCTACAAGATCAAGTAAAATAAAACTACTGAAGATGGAGAATTGGAAAATGCAAATGACAGGTCAGGTAGCATTGCATCTACAGTGGACAGGGTTTGTGATGGGTTATGGGTTATGAAGGGGGTCCCAGAGCAGCCTCTTCTGTTAGGCCCTGTTATGCACTATCGCAATGAGCTACTACTCTAATTTTTATTTTTTTAACTAGGGACCACCAACTGGTATGTAGTTTAACTTGCATTTGTGTTGCTTTGATTTGAGAGAAGTTATACACTAGCATTAATGTAGCTCAACGCGAGTTGCACGTGTCACGGTCTGACTAAGGTTTCACTGGATTGTGCCGCAAAAGTAAAATTAAGGAAGAAAAGAGAGAGAGAGAAAAAAAATAAAAAAAATAAAGACTCTTCAAGGCTTATGAAAAGTGCCAAATTTCTACAGTCTAAATCAGAAGAACACCCCTCACCCTGCAACAATATAACTAATAGAGGCTTGTCTCGGGAGCCCGAAAAAGGATGAAAGAGGTTAGGCCATTCACAGCAGAGAGATGCGGGGCAAGGTGGGTGGATGGGTGTTCGATGGGGTGGGGCACGTAGAAAAGAGGTGGGAAGGTGGAACTTACGGATCGGCCATATGGCGACAGGCTGAGTCCGACAGGGGAGGTGCTGCTCAGGTCAGCGCTAACAAACGCGGTGGGTGGCGACGCAGGCAAGGTAAACTCAACAAAGCCTTTCCAGGGGCTGCCCATATTTTCCCATAAACTCGGACCAAAGTTGCTCGAGCACTTGCTGAACTTGATTACTTGTTTGAATGTTTTTGCTTGACTGTTAAGTACTATTTTTATGTAACCACCCAAATGATACACCGCTGGATGTCTGCAAGGGTGAAGAGAGGAACAAACATAACGGGTAAGGCAGATAGGACAGCCAGTGTGCCAAGTGTCACAAACAAAGGAAAATAGCTGTGGGCTTTTACCCCCCAGAAAAGGCAAAAATCAGGGAGGATATGACTTGAAAACGACAGAACAGGAAAGAGGTGCGGGCTGGGTGTGGGAAGGCAGTCAAATCAATCTCAAACTGAAGTGAATAACCATTTTAACTGTTGTTTGGAAACGGTAGCGGTTCAGTTTAGCTAGCTTTATGCTTCATAAGTTTCATGAAGAGTTATCTTTGGCAAATGGCAATGTAGAGGTCACTAGGGCTGCACAATTAATCTAGATATTCTAAAAATCGCAATATGGCCAAGTGCAACACACAAACTGCAGGAGCTGTAATGTTTTGATAAGTTAAATGTGTGACAAAACAGCATTATAATGAGGTACTGTAG